GGGGCCCCAAAAAGGACACCCTCCTCGGACAAACTTGCGCTTCTGGCATGCCCACACCCACACCCCCCCCCCCCCCCCCCCCCCCCCCCCCCCCCCCCCCCCCCCCCCCCCCCCCCCCCCCCCCCCCCCCCCCCCCCCCCCCCCCCCCCCCCCGCCTCTCCACCCGCTCTCACAGCTGAGCCGCATGGCAGTGACCCCCGCAGGGCACGCCGGAACAGAGCCAAGCGCCGATGGAGCAGGACGACAGCACCGAACACAACTCCCCCCAAGCCAAGCAACACCAGTCACCCAAACAGGCGACAAGCAGGGCGGGACGAGGCTGCCATCGGCTGTCCCTTATCGCGTACCCTGCGTCCCCAAGCAGGGCCCAGCGTGGGATACTCGCTTGTTCCAATGCCTCTGGGTGTCCTCCACTCCTGCCCCAAACACAGTGGAGTTCAAATGCCCACGGCTCCCAGTTGAAAAGTGACAGCACAGGCATCAGCCCACCCAGCAAGACAACTCCAAACAACACAGAAAACCAAACAACCTCGTGCCAGCCCCTTTCCGCCTTGAGAAGGACTGTCGTATCCAGGCAGGTAAAAAGGGTAAGAGACTGAATTCCCACCCGCTCCAATGCCGCTACACGAACCATGACAGCTCTCACATGCTAGCAAACAACGGCGCACCAGTCCCCGCGCCCCCCTGTCCCTGACCCGGACAGGCGATGCTCACCCTGGGCGAGCTGTGGGAAGTCGGAGGCCCCCGCAGGGCGAGGGGCAGGTGGGGAGGAGCTGCTGGCCGCCGTCCGGATGCAGCAGGGACCTCGGCCCGCTACAGAAGAGACTCAGCAGAGCAGGTCCCCTACTCCCGGGGACAAGAGGCCGCAGGTTTAAAGCGCCAGGATCCCAGAGAGCGGCCCTGAGGGATGCCGGTGATGAAGCCGGGAGGGGTCATACGCCGGGGCGGAGGGGGTGGGCACACAGCCTGAGTGGAGGGGTTTTCCTCTGATGACTCCCTGCTAAGTCCCCTTCCACTTTTCTCCCCAGTGAGATTCCGTTGCCCTTAGCTAAGCTGGGGCAGTGGGGGGGCTGAAGGGGTCCCGATAGAGCCCCCGGAAAGGGGACAGACCTACCTGAGCGCTGGGTACTGAAGTCCGGCAGCAGGTGAGCAGTAGACGCTGCAGTGCATTATTATGCCATAAACCAGGAGTGCTAAGATTGCTTTGCTACACATTGCCACTCTGTGTAGGAGGGAAAGGAAACGGGCCGTCAAAAAAAAACAAAACCAAAAAAAAAAAAAAAAAAAAAAAAAAAAAAAAAAAAAAAAAAAAAAAAAAAAAAAAAAAAAAAAAAAAAAAAAAAAAAAAAAAAAAAAAAAAAAAAAAAAAAAAAAAGGAAAACAAACCACCCTACGACCCACCACGCCCCCCGGCCTTGCCTGCCGAGAAGGGAGGCAGAGCGTCTCCGGGGGACAAGAGCCTTGGGTAGCCGGGTGCTAGCGCTGAGCGGCACCGAGAAGCGCGGAGCGGTGCCCAGCGCAGAGCGCTGCCGCCGGTGCCCGCCCCGTCGGTGCCCGGCCGCCCGCCCTCCCCGGGACCGCTGCGGAAAGGCCCGGAGAGCCGCCTCGTGTCCTTACCATTAAACTCTAGACACCCGGCACTGAGAGCGTTTGGCTGAGAAACTAAACAGGCAGGTCTTGGAGAGAAGAAGAAAAAAAAAAAAAAAAAAAAAAAAAAAAGACCCAAAATAGAGAGGGGGAAGAAATCTAGCTCTCTCCCAAGTGGCGTCCGAAAGGAGTTAAAAGCCTCGTGGCATTGCCTCTCCGATGGGCGAAGACCCGCAAGATGCAGAAGATGCAAAAACGGCAGCAGTTAGTTGTTTGCTGGTTTTAGGGCAATCCACTCCAAAAATACAAAGAGAAAGAGGAAGGGGCGAAAAAAAGATAAAGGGAAAAAAGTTTGCAGCACAGATCTAGAGTGGGCTCTACAAGGGAAGGGAGAAAGAGAGATGAAGCGATATGTCGCCTGAGAAAGGAGCACAGGGGAAGAGGGAAGAGAGCGAGCGAGCTCGGGAGGGAGCGGAGGCGGGAGCCGCGGGCTGGCTGCGTGCGATGTTGTCTTCCCCAGATCTCTCCCCTCACTGAACGCCTGCCTTCAGCCTTCTCCTCTTCTTCTCTTCCTGCACGGTGGCTCCAAACTTGACCAGCCTTCCTCAGCCTTTCGTCTGATACGCAATTAGCAAGAAAATCTTTGCAAACACCCCGCTTCAGCAAGAGCCCTCTTCGTAAACATTTGCCTGCTTGTTGCCTTAGAGGATGGGCAATATTGTTTGTTGCCCCCGTGGTGGTGTCCGGATTTTTATTCATGAATCAAATGCCTTTTTTTTTTTTTTTCCCAGTCACGTAATAATCGGGTATCAGAAAAGACGTCACCACCCCAATTCCTCAAGGAACACAGTTCTGTGTCGTCCTCAAAGATGAGCTTATCAGGAGTCATAAAGCTTCTCATAAACACCAACTCACACTTTCCTCTTCCCCCCCCCAAAAAAAAAAATTAGAAAAAGAAAACCCAACCAAACCCAACAACCAAAAAACCACGCAGAAAACCCCCACAACCTATCACACAAATCTAAAATGATGTTCTCCACGGTAAAGTTTTACCTGAGGTGGGAAGGGATCAGGAGAGAGAGGAGGGCAGTGGGGGTCCCCGGATTTGTCGGGCACCCCGCGTCTTTACTCTGGGTCTTTCCGCGGGGCCAGCTCAGCCCACGACACCGCCCGGGGCCGCCGCTGGGCACAGGCCCCCGCGGAGCCGCCCGGCTCTGAGCACGCAGACGGAGCAGCCCTGGGGCGGAACCCCCTACTTCCAAGGAGATTTGGGGATACAAGCGCCTTTTTTTTTTTTTTTTTTCCCTAGAGCCCTTTCTTTTTTTTCTTTAAGGAATGCTAGTGTTGTTCTCATTACGCAAGGCGCCCCCCGGGGAAATCAGAAGCGCCCTGCGTGTCTTGAAATCGAGGGGCGTGGGGGACGAGTCCCACGGCCTCCCTGCAAGGAGGGTCCCACACGCGGCCGGCGCTGCCCAGGGACAGCGGGGGAGGCTTTCCTCCCCCTCGTGCCTTGGCCCGACCCTCCCCCTTCTCTCCGCCTTGAGCAGAGACAGATATGCAGCTCGCAGCGCTTGACAGAGCGGGAGGGAAGAGCATCGCCATGAGGAAAAAAGAAAAAAAAAAAAAAAAAAAAGTTGATTTGTCGGAGGGACCGGGAAGGAAATCCCTTCTCTGGGGACTTCCCCGCCACCGGAATAATTTTCCCCCCAGGCGATGAAGCCGGGCGCGGGCCACCGGCGGGCTCCCAGCCGCTGCGATCGCGCTCGTCTCCGCGCACCCCTCCCTTCGCGGCCGAAAATGTGCCCTTCATTTCCGAGAATTACCCAAAGAAATCCAGGCTGCAGGAGCCATTACTGCATATTTTAATTATTTGGATCATAAGCAGAGAGTTCAGGAAGCAGCAATAATATAGTTCTCCTGTTTCCTATTTGAATGGCTTTGGTGTAACATGCTTGGATGAGTTATTTGAGCCCAAATCGATTTCTCAAAAACAACAACAACAAAAAACACACCATACAATTACATTCCTATTACGGTCATTTAAGGTTTCAATATTTTTCCGGAGATAAAGGCAATTTAACGTGAATGAACGATTCCCGTAGAAATGGCCATCGACGCGATCCCAGGTGGGGGGACAGGACTGGGAACGGAGCGGGACGCTACTACTACCCCAGTTGTCATTCCCTGCCGGGCATGTCGGACTGGGAAGGTCCGCCGGCAGGAGAGGGGACTGGGCAGGACGCCCGGCGGGGCCGCTGGGGAAGGGGGCACTCCACCGCTCCCGCTGGAGAGGGGACATCCCGCGGCCCCCGCTGAAGAAGGGGTCACCCCGCCGCTCCGGCTGGAGAAGGGGTCACCCCGCCGCCCTGCTGGAGAAGGGGCACCCTGCGGCTCCCGCTGGAGAAGGGGTCACCCCACCGCTCCCTCTGGAGAAGGGCGCCCCGCCGGCGATGGGGCTTCCCCGGCGCTCGCTTGGCCCGCGGGCGCGGACGGTCCGTGAGCGGAGGGCGCCACCGTGCGGCAGATCCGCGCCTGCGGCCGCGCCGCGGAGCCGCCGTCGGGCGGGCCGGGGGAGGGGGTGCCCTGTCCCCCGACTGCGGAGGGCTGGGGTGAAGCCCCCTGCGCTACCTCCGAGCTCCTGGGACCGGCTGTGAGAGCGGCTAGAGGGGAAGGGCTGCCAACTGTTCCTCTTGAAGCGGGCTTTGGGGGCTGGTGGTTTTTTTTTGTTTGTTTCCTTCGGCATGACTCTGCGACAGCAGGTGTGAACAAGGGCTTTTCTAGAAGCCAGCCTGGCTGGGATCGTGGGGATAACGTCGGTTTACAGGCTTGAATACACTGTCTAGAGAACAGGAAAAAACTTTCCCTCCTTCTGAAGAGACCAGAGTCACAGGCAGTACATTTTAAAGCTGTGTCTGTTTTCACTTTAGAAAAGCTACTTTCAGTGACTTTTGCTGCATTTCCTCTCCTCCCTCCCAGCTGCCCCACATCCTCACAGGAGGTACCAGGATGCCTGAAATAATAGGCAGCAACAGCACCGAGGTACAGATTCCCATAAAACAAACCTGCAGCTACAGACCCCGTGTTGCAACCCAGTGCTACCCTGGTGGTACTGTGCATGCAGGAGCGATGTCAGGATGGTTTGAAAAAAATACAGCTTCTAAGCTCTTCATGATGAGTGAATAGCTCACAGATAATTCATGTCAATAAAAGTTTCATAGCACCTCAGTCCACATCACAGAGGCGTGTGTGCAACGTGAATGTGCACATGGCATGACTGCAGTTTAGGC